GAAGCGCTTGTAAGTGACGGTATGATAACTCTACACAACAACGAACAATTAGAACATTATGAGACTATAACTCTACACAACAACGAAGCATCTGAACACCATGAGATGGTAAACCTAGGTATAACTCAAATAATTGTGTAACTCATTTTATGTGTTCTCTCTATCTAGTACTACTAGGTATAACTAGTATAACTACTTGACTTGTTTTACTTGATGTCTCTGTCTAGTACTACTAGGTATAACTGATATGACTGTTTGACACTGTTTTGATTGTAGGTCATCAAGAACCCGATAACTTTGGTATTCATGAATATGATAATGAGTATAACTTTGGGACATATGAAGATAATGAAGGGCCAGCTGCTATGGATGGAGATGGAGATGAAAGACAAGGATGAAAAGATGGTATGGATATGACTCTACATCAAGAATTTCCAAGTAGAGAAGAAGTAAAACAGTTAGTTCAAATTACTTCACATAAGAACTGCTTTGAGTACGATGTTAAGCACACTGATCGAAGGCGATATATGCTTCGTTGTAGTGAAGCAAAAGCTGGTTGCAAGTGGTATGTACAAGTTACTTCGATTCGGAATGTGCTTCTCGACACCGGTGATCGGTTTCTACTGCCTTCCCTGAGACTCTCTATCTCTCTCAGCCGGCGTCATCATCACCCATGACTTCATTACCCGCTCCATGGACTTCAGCTCTAAAACCACCGTCGTCGAACCGGAATTGGCTCGCTCTCTGCGGGACGATAACTCCGGAAAGGACCTTGCAAACCTCTCTCTCTTATCAAGAGAAGAACACTCTTCATCTCCGAATTAGCCGCATCCGAATTCCGAGCAAGTTAATCTCGTGGTCGGAGATGATAGAACAATTAAGGACTCTATCGTAGCCGGATTCGGCGTGGTCGGCGAGTCAGTCAAACCCTCCAGACCTGCTCGACCCTCCCGACCCACCAGACGGCCGCGACTCTTTGGCTCTGACCCGGTTCTCATCACACCTCGTCTTAAGAGCTAGCCACGATTCGCCGGATTTGCTCCGCCGAGTCTTCACGGAGCTTAGGGCCACTATCAGCTTGGGCCTCAAATGGATTTTGACATCGCCGGAGACGCAGCCGGAGACGCTCCTCTTCCATCCCTCGTCAGATGATGTAAATAATTCTAACCCTAATTTTGGTCGAGATTTGATTCATTTGGGCTTGACCCACTTGTTATTTTCAAATTGGGTTTGGTGGCCCATGAGAGGAAGAATTATTTTAGGGTTAGGATGGATAGGCTCATCAGGAAAAATGTTATGGGTTGGGCCTAGAATGAGTATAAAAATTGAGGTATTTTGTTTAATAGGCACAGACCCAATGGTATTAAAACGTAGATTTTCTAAAATCTTATTTGTTTTTTAGCGTGTTGGCTTTTCTCCTTTGAGAAAAATAAAATTTTCTGGATTCTCAAATCATGTAGTTTTTATTTATTATATCTCTTCTACTGTGAGAAGTCACAAGTTTTCTAGATTCTCAAACCTTGTAATTTACTCTCGATGGAAGAGTCTAATTCCACTTTTGGCCATCTCGTTGAGATTGGTCGTAGTTTCTTCCCTCTCCTGGAGAGTGGTCGAATCCCCGAGCATTATGCCGGGATCTTCAAAGTCACATTGGAAAGTGATTACCCTGAGACTCTCTTGACGCATCCGAGTCACGACTTGGATTCGCTGTCCATCTTCTACGATGATCTATCTGCTTTATGTGTTATCGCATTTAAATTATGTTGTATTAATGCTGGAGGATGCTTCATTCCCTCTTTTTGTACTCTGATCGTTTAGATGAATGAAAAGCTTGTTGACCAAAAAAAAAGAAGAAGAAGTAAAACAGTTAGTTCAAATTGCCTCACATAAGAACTGCTTTGAGTACGATGTTAAGCACACTGATCGAGGGCGATATATGCTTCGTTGTAGTGAAGCAAAAGGT